CTTTGGGCGGGCCCTGGAAAAGCGAAACGCACTCGCAAACAATCGGGGACCAGCGCCAGCGAGCCAGGGGGGGGCGCGCGGCCGGCAGGCGTCCTTGGACGGGGCCTGGGGGGAGGCAACCACACTCGCAAATGATCAGAAACCATCGCCAGCGAGCCAGGGGGGTCGCGGCCGCCGGGCTTCCTCGCGCGGCCCGCCGCCGAGGTCGGCGCCGCCGCCTGGCGCCCTGCGGCGCGCACTGGAGCGGCCACTCGCAATTGCACATAAGCAAAAAACCAGCGCGCGCCAGAGGTCGGCGCCGCCGCCTGGCGTCCTGGGGCACGCCCCGGCGCAGCCGTTCGTAATCGCAAATAAGCATAAAGCAGTGCACAAAGCAGAGGTCGGCGCCGCCGCCCGGCGTCCTCGGGCGCGCGCTGGAGCAGCCGCGCGCAATCGCGAATAAGCAAAAACCGCAGCGCGCAAAAGGTCGCCGCCGCCGCGCGGCGTCCTGGGGCGCGCCTTGGCGCAACCAATCGCCATCGCAATTAAACAAAAACCAACGCAGGCAATCCAGAGATTGGCGCGAATTGCCAAGGGGGCCCGCGCACGTCCCGAAATCCGACGCAATTGCGAATGAGCAAAAACGCATGGAAACGATGTGATTTTGATTTTGGGGATGCATGCGGGGCCCCGCTTGTCACGGACAACAAGCGAATCAAAAAGCCTTTGCGGCGGTTTTGGAAGGGCGCCTACGATTTAAGAAACTTGGCCCGTAAGAAAGTGGCGGCCCCTGTCGCGCTGAACATGGCTGCGGCATAAGAAATCCGCAGGGGCTGAAACGAAAACAACAACTTTCTTATTGAGCGCCGCGGGTCAAAGTCATCAACGATGTTGGAATGGGCCCTCCCTCCAAGCTCCCTCTTCATAGGCCCTTACATCGGTTGATTTCCATTGAGGGAACTGCCTCGTTAGAAGACAACCGTTTGAAGACCTTGAAGCATGCAAAACATTGTTCTCGGGATTGCCACGCCACAGATCAACCTGACTGTTGCGTCCAGGCGATTTGGAATCGTGCCAGAACGCCATTTGTTGGACTTCAACACCGCGAGCCAACATGATTATTGCACACGCGTAATCATGATTCCTTCCAAAACACCATTTCTGGTACGTTGACCATGGGAATCCGTGAAACGCTTGCAATGTTTAAAACGAGTGTGCGCGACGCTAAGGCGAGACCCACATTTTGAGAAGGAACCGCCCTCTATCCGTGAAGCTCCGGCAAGTTAAAAAAACGAATGTGCGCGGCGCTGAGGCGAGAATCACATGGTGAATACAAACCGACCTTACTCCGTGTGGAATTCTCGTAAATATTTGAAGCCGCATGCGCGCCGCGCCTAGGCGAGAACCACATTTTGAGAACGACCCGCCCTCAATCCGTGAAGCTCTTGCGTTTTGTTAAAGCGACTGTGCGCCGCGCTAAGGCGAGAGCCACATTTTGAAAAGGATTCGCCATCCATCCGGGAAGATTTTGCAAATTTTTAAAACGAATGTGCGCGGCGCTGAGGCGAGAACCACATTTTGAAAACGACCCGCCCTCAATCCGTGAAGCTCTTGCAATAAAAAACGGCCCGCCCTCAATGTGTGAAGCTATTGCCATTTTAAGCTTCAGAGTCATAAGTGGTGAGCGAGTCTCAAGCGAAACGCCCGGACCGCCGTAAAAACTGGCCTCGGGGTGCGACAGGGGGAATTGTTTATATGGGGAATGAATGGAAAACCAGTGTAAACCCAAGAGTCATCAACGCAGATAGAGTTAACCCTCCCTCCAAGCTCCCTCGTCATAGGTCCTTACGGTTTGTTTCCATAAAATGGAACTGCCTCGTTGGAAGACACCCGTTTGAAGACCCTGAAGCATGCCAAAACATTGTTCTCGGGACTCCAACGCCACGGATCAGCCTGACTGCTCCCCAATCAGAGCTTGCCTCTGTAGGTGTCCTAGCGGATTCACTCCCCAATCTGAGCTTGCCTCTGTAGGGGTCCTAGCGGATTCATATGGTTAGGTTAGGTTTGTCGCCGATTTTCGCTGCACGCCCGGGTGCCCGGGGCTGCCCGGGTGCCCGGGTGCCCAGGTGCCCGGGTGCCCCGGCGTGCCCGGGGGTGCCCGGGGGTGCCAAGGGGTGCCCTATAGCCCTATAGCCCTATAGCCCTATAGCCCAATAGCCCTATAGCCCTATAGCCCTATGGCCCTACAGCTCTATAGCCCTATAGCTCAATAGCCTTATAGCCCTATAGCCATATAACCCTGTAGCTCTATAGCCCTATACCCCTATACCCTATAGCCCTATAGCCCTACAGCCCTATTTAGCCCTGTAGCTCTATTACCCTATAGCCCAATAGCCCTAAAGCCCATATAGCCCTATAGCCCTACGGCCCTAAAAAGATTATGATTCGGTTTTTCCCTACCTAGGCTCTGGGTTCTTACTGTGTTGGCTTAAAGGGCGGGGCAGTGTTCCCCGCCCCGGGCGGTTCCCCCGGCATCCGCCCCGCGGTTCCCCCAGTTGCGCCCCCTTACCTTAGCTTTGCGTATCTCATCTTAGCTTAGCTTAGCTTAGCTTATCTTCGTCTTAGCTTCGCGTAGCTGTAGTTTAACTTAGCTGTGCTTAGCTTAGCTTAGCTGGACTTAGCTTAGCTTAGCTTAGCTTAGCTTGGCTTGGCTTAGCTTAGCTTAGCTTAGCTTAGCCTAGTTTAGCTAAGCTTAGCTTAGCTTAGCTTAGCGTAGCACAGCTTATCTTACCTTAGCTTAGCTTAGCTTAGCGCAACGCAGCATAGCGCAGCGCAGCATTAACACATCATAGCATAGCATAGCATAGCCAAGCATAGCATAGCACAGCATAGCATAGCATAGCTCAGCATCTCATAGCATAGCATAGCATAGCGCAGCATAGCATAGCATAGCATAACATATTATATACTAACATCACATTGCTTAGCATAGCACAGCGCAGCATAGCATAGCATAGCATAGCACAGCATAGCATAGCATAGCGCAGCATAGCATAGCATAGCATAGCGCAGCATAGCACATCATAGCACAGCCTAACATAGCATAGCATAGCGCAGCATAGCATAGCATAGCATAGCGCAGCATAGCATATCATCGCATAGCATAGCGCAGCATATCATAGCATACCATAGCCTAGCATAGCACAGCGCAGCCGAGCGTACCCTAGCATAGCATAGCATAGCGCAGCATAGCGCAGCATAGCGCAGCACAGCGCAGCATAGCATATCATAGCATATCATAGCATAGCGCAGCATAGCATAGCATAGCATAGCATAGCATAGCATAGCATAGCATAGCATAGCATAGCATAGCATAGCATAGCATAGCATAGCAGCAAAGCAAAGGCACAGCAACAGCAGCAACAGCAAAGCAAAGCACAAGCAACGCAAAGCCGGACCTGCAGTGCTGAACAGCCTGCAGCTCTTGCAGGAGCCGCGAGCAGTGCTGAACAGCCTGCAGCTCTTGCAAGCAGTGCTGAACAGCCTGCAGCTCTTGCAGGAGCCGCGAGCGGTGCTGAACAGCCTGCAGCTCCAACTCCTGGGTAGGGTCGCACTGGGATAATTTCTCCGGTATCATATGGTTAGGTTAGGTTTGTCGCCGATTTTTGCTGAACGCCCGGGTGCCCGGGTGCCCGGGGGTGCCCGGGGCCGGGGTGCCCGGGGGGTGCCCGGGGGTGCCCCGGTGCCCAAACGCCTGGGTGCCCGGGCGTGCCTGGGCGTGCCCAGGGGTTCCCAGGGGTGCCCTATAGCCCTATAGCCCTAAGCCCTATAGCTCTATAGCCCTATAGCCCAATAGCCCAATAGCCCTATAGCCCAATAGCCCAATAGCCCTATAGCCCTATAACTTTACAGCCCTGTAGCTCTATTGCCCTTTAGCTCAATAGCCCTATAGCCCTATAGCCCCCTAGCCCTATAGCCCTGATTGTTTTTTTTTCGGTATCATTGCATCTTGGATCCTGAATCGTGCCAGAACGCTATTCCTAGGACTTCGACACCGAGAATCAACGTAACTGTTGCGCGCGAAGGGTCCGGAATCTTTCCAAAACCCCAATTCTGGTACGTTGACCATGGGAATCCGTGAAGCTCTTGCAATTTTTTGAAACGAATGTGCGCCTCGCTCAGGCGAGAGCCACATTTTGAGAACGACCCGCCCTCAATCCGTGAAGCTCTCATGAATTCTGAAAACAAATGTGCGCGGCGTTAAGGCGAGAGCCGCATTTTGAAAAGGAGCCGCCCTCAATCCGTGAAGCTCTTGCAATTTGTTGAAGCGAACGTGCGCCTCGCTTAGGCGAGAGCCACATTTTGAAAAGGAGCCGCCCTGAATCCGTGAAGCTTTTGCAAATCTTTGCAAATATGTTTAAAACGAATGCGTGCCGCGATTAGGCGGGAGCCACATTTTGAAAATGACCCGTCTTCAATCCGTGAAGCTCTTGCAAATTTCCAAACCGAATGTACGCGGCGCTAAGGCGAGAGCCACATTTTGAAAACGACCCGCTCTCAATCCGTGAAGCACTTACAATTTTTCAAAGACGAATGTGCGCCGCGCTAAGGTGAGAGCCACATTTTGAAAACGACCCGCTCTCAATCCGTGAAGCCCTTGCAAATTTGTAGAACGAATGTGCGCCGCGCTACGGCGAGAGCCTCATTTTGAAAACGACCCACCCTCAATTTGTGAAACGCTTGCCAATTTTGAAGGTTCAGAGTCATAGAGGGTGAGGAAGTCTCAGGCGAAACGCCCAGCCCGCCCTAAAACATTGGCCTCCGGGTGCGACAGGGAGAAATTATTTATAGGTTCACGGAATGGAGGATGAGGATGAGGTGGTGGAGGTGGAGGAGGTGAGCAGAAGGAGGAGGAGGAGGCAGTGGTGGAGATAGAGAAGAGGAGGTAGAGGAGGAGGACGAACAGGAGGAGGAGGGGGAGGAGGACGATCAGGAGGACCACCCTTCGGTCGGTTCCAAAGGCTTCCGAGCTGGCCAGCTTCGACTACGGAACCCTGCGGCCCGTCACCGTGGAGGAGAAGAGGCAGTGGAAGGAGCTGGGCTTCGTTGTGTTGCGCGGTGTGATAGACCCGGCGGCTATAGAGACCGGGGGACACAACTTCCGTGCCTTCTTCTGGGCGGGCTTCGGGTTTCTCCCTTTAAATGGCCTGCCTCGGCCTTGGGAGCCCCTAGGTTGCTCTGGCTCTCTAGGCTCTAGGACCTCACGGGATCCTGCCTGAGTGTTCCCAGTAGCGACGCTCGGCTTGGTTTTGTGTCGATAGCCCCGCTCGTTGCAGAGGTGTCCAGAAGTTTCGTCCCTCAACCGTATCGTGGAGCGGGAGTCGCACAGGCTGTGCTCCTGGCAGATGTGGTTCGGTAACGTTTGCCAAATAGAGGAGGGTCGCTGGCAGTCCGACGTGCTGAGGGACTTCCTCTTCCACAGCCCCCTGGGGGCCATAGTGCACAGCTTCATCGGAGGCAGCCTGCGGTTGTATCAAGACGGGCTGATAGGCTCGGTCGGACGAAATGGGGGGATGGGTGAAGGGAGGGGGGCCGAAACTTGCCGCGTGCAGCTGGTTTCGGCCCCGCCGCTGGGCCCTTCCCACGATGCATGGCCGCCTCTGGCGCCATGAGGCGCCCTGAAACCCAGCTACATGAGCTGATTTGCGAGTCCTCCTTTTGCTATCCCCTGCCTCTTCGTTCGACCTGATAGGTTTGGCCCGCACCTGGACGAGCCCGCTGTTCTACACCTTCCTGAAGCACGTGGACCACAGCGGGAGACCAGGGAAGTACGGCGGTCTGCACTCAGACACGCTCGGCGCATCCGTGTGGGTGCCGCTTCAGGACATCGACAACGAGACGGAGGGCGGCTCGATCACCCTGTACGAGGTCCGAGGCTGGGATTTGGACATGTCCACCGCCTGGGGAAGCGGTCTTCCGGGGCCTCGGGAGGCGGTGGATGTGGACGTCTTCGGCCCCCGATGGGGGCCCAGGTAGGACTGAATCCACCGCTCCCTGGGATCCTGGAAGATCGGCTCCCCGGGCGGCGGACGCGTGTGCGTGCTGGCCCCGCACGAGGGGTTCCCGCACCACGGCTGCCACTACCGCATGGGCGAGAAGAGCACTGTGTGGCAGGCCCACGACGTCCTCGACATGCCGAGGATCGCCAAGAACTGCGCCAGGTTCGGCAGGCAGCGCGGGGAGTTCACCCCCCGCGTCAAGAAGGCAGCCCCCCTCCTCCTCCCCTCCCCCTCCTCCCCCTCCTCGCCCTCCCCCTCCTCCCCCTCCTCCCCCTCCTCCACAATTGCTCAATATGAATACTACTCTCCCTCTTCCCCTGATGACGGTTTGAAAGTATTAGCCCACCCCCCGCGTACTGTTTTTTTACACACAGGATTCCCCGGAGTTGGGTTTTCGCCTGCATTTTTTTTTTTTTTTTTTTTTTTTTTTTTTTTTTTTTTTTTTTTTTTTTTCCAAAATGCTGCTCTCGCGAGGTGCCGGCCTCATTTTCGGGCCCCGCTCGTTCCGAATCGTGCTCCCGCTGCAGCGCTGGCCTCATTTCCGTGCTTCCGCTCGTTCCGAATCGTGCTCCCGCTGCAGCGCTGGCCTCATTTCCGCGCTTCTGCTCGTTCCGACTCGTGCTCCCGCTGCAGCGCTGGCGTCATTTCCCGTGCCATGCCACGGCATGCAATGCAATGCTAGGTTGATATTACGCTTTGCGGTGCTCTTCTACGCCATGCCATGCCGTGCTCTACAATGCATCGCGTACCCTTTCGGGATCATTGCCCTGCTCGACATCCGACTGTGCGAGTAGAGAGGGGATCTACGCCATGGTAAGGGATGGGAGGGAGGGGTAGGATGTCAGATATGACGCGAGCGCACCTAGCTTGCCCTCCTCCCCCTTCTCCCCCGTCCTCCCCCTCCTCCCCCTCCTCCCCCTCCCCCTCCCCCTCCTCCCCCTCCTCCTGGGGGAGCCGTGTTCCTTAATTGCCCACCAGAGGGGCCCCTATCGGCCTCGACCCCCATCTCGAGGGATCGTCGATACGATGGGTCCCCCCTGGGGAGGTAAGGAACGCAGCTGGCGACGCTCGTGGCTCCTCGGGAAGGGCGACGTCGTGCTCTGGTGGCCGTCGATGATGCACAACACCCAGCCTTTCAGGGTCAGCAGGACCCGCTACGCGCTGTACGCGCGGGTGGTGCACAACAACTCGGTGACGTGCCTGCCGAAAGACTGTGGGTGGAAGGGGCGTCCATGCTGCAACGCCGAGCTCATTCCGAAGGCGCCTTCCTACACTGACTGCGGTCAGGAGCTTCTGCTTGGCGTGTCGCGGCGGCGGCGCCGGCGACACGCTGTGCTTGGCGAGCGGATGGCGTGTCGCTCCGCTCCGCGGGGTGGGAGGCTCGGAAAAGCTCGGGACGTTGACGTTGGGGGCTGGGAAGCGGATAGCGTGTCGCACTCAAGCGTTTTGGGCCAAACTCCGG